AGGATGTTTTCAGGTGATGCTGAGATGTCTCAGGAAGTCTTGCATTTAATTCAGTGAATCGCACTCATCCCTGTGACTCATAGTATAACCTTTAATATAAAACCAACTAGGAAGAGATTGGCTACAAGTGCTTTCTAGTGAACGCAACATAAAACTGAGGCCAGTGGTCATACCAGACATCAATATCGCTTCCATTAAAAGTTCTAACAAGTGTTTCAAATAATCTGTAACAAAGATTTAGTCAATAAATTTTCTGCGTTTAGATGCATGTGGTATTGTTACATGTTGTAAGGCATCCTGAACTTCTCTATCGCTCCTCTTCTCTTAGTTGCCTGGTATTACTTTAACTTTTTAACAGATAAAATTTTAATAGAAAATATGAGAGAGGGCTTTATTAATAACTGTTCCATTACTTTGTAACATTATTATGCTTACAATAATAGAATAGACTTTTCTCAAGAGCGTGTATTAAAGTGGGTAAATTTTAACAGTTTTTATTGACATAGTCCTTCACTATGGGCTTCCATATCCGAAGGGAAAGAAAACGTGTACTATCTCCTTTCCCTCCGGTTATTTTAGATTAAGAGAAGCCACCCAGAAGCGATTTAAAAGTAGATTGCAATTTACAGCTGGAAAGCAGTTGGTGGTTAAATGAGGAGTTTGTAGTGGACCCTTTGCAAGTAGATGTCTGTGGAGAAATTAGAATAATTTTGGATTCTGGAGTAAACATTTCTGACCTTCTAAATGGAAGCATCTGCAAGATTTCCTTTAACTGATGAGTGGGGAGATTCTCAGCTGGTGTAAATTAGTGTGGCTTCAGTGAAGCTGATGGTTTTATTACAGTTTACACCATCCACATTTCTTTCCTCAGAAATTCTATTTTTTTATATGCATTTAAGTGTAACAGCATCAATTTTGTGTACTGACATCTTCTGAATAGAAATATGCAGTTTATTCCATGAAAACCCTAATGTTTTCCTCTTTGAGTCTTCTGAGTAAGCATTGCAAAGGAGAAGATGCTCTTTAACTACAAGAAAAATTCTGCAGACCAATATTCTGATACGTCCTGTTACGAAATCACCCCCCTCAAACAGAAAGGAATGAGGGGAAGCTTCAGAGACATCAGTTCTCAAGGACATCAGGACAGAAACCTGGATCAGAAGCACACTTGCATGCTAACACTTGTATCACCTGCCTTTGCAGTGATATAGATCACGTTTCACGTACTTTGGAGAGATTTCTTGAGGACATATCAGAAAATCTGCCTCAGATTATCAGTCTTAGCTCCCCCAACTGCATTTCCTTGTTTTCCTCTATTATCAGCAAACTTCAGTTCCAAACTAGGGCAATGTTGGCATATGTCTTTATCTGAGAAAGCTCAGGTTAGAGAAATCCAGCTATTACTGGGGGCGGGGGGTGGTGTTTGTTTTCTCCATTAGGTTGTGATTTTTCTGTGACCAGGAACTGTCTGTCTCTTGCAACCACACCTATAATTACAAAGATAAACAGTTTTTACATAGCCTTGTCCTAAGGCCATTGGTAGTGATGACCAAGGTATTAAAGCATGTCTGTACGTGTTTGTATGTTCAGGGCTTTTGAGGGGTGAAAATGAGCATGGAGAAACAAGCAAGACTGTTAAGATCCAATGCCGAATCCAAAATTTGTGAAGTGTGTTTCTTTGAGACAGTGGGAAGAAAGTGAATTTTTTACAGGACCTCAAAATATCGCAGCCTGGAAGTAGAGGAATGTCTTTTGGGGAAGGTTGTAAAATATGTGCCCTTATGATGGTATTATATTAAAATTCTCTGCAAGCAAATAATCCAAAACACACATAATTTGTCCAAGATGCAGGCTTTAGCCTCATCCTTAGGAGGGCTGGACAATCTTTGTAGTTATTAAGAAGGGGGTTTACCTCATGAAACTTAGTTGTTTAAGAATTAGTCACCTGGTACCACAAGACCCCCTCTCCATTGTCAATGGAGAGAAGCAACCTCATGTGGTGATATGTATCCCATATTAAAATAAATATGTAAGACAGATGGGTGCTTTAAAAATGCCTGTCACTATATATGGAATATAGAAGGAGTTAAAATAACTAGATTTTATTCAATATTTCCAGATGGTAACATTAAATGAGATGGTCCTACCCTGAAAACTATCACTGCTTTCTGGAATGGCAGTGTGTGCTACATTATGATCTGAATTTAATTAAGTGACACAACTCTTAAATGATGGCAGGATATTCTTGCCTTGGGGAAGAACTTCTAATAGATGCATGGCTTTCTTCTGCCTTCCAAAAAAAACCCAAGACAACCAATGCATATGTTTTACCTAATGAAAATCAATGAGATTTGTATGTTATGCTTGGCTTGTAACTTAGGAAAGTCCCACCAGTTGCATTTTTGGTACCTCAGTATGCTGTAAAATCCAGTCTTGGCTAGTAGCTAGAAGAGGATTGTATCCTCACCACAGTGATCTTAGAAACTCTACTTCAAAAATGCACAGAAATACAGAAATATTCAAAACATATCTACAAATGAAAAAAAGGCCACCAAAACAACAAATTGCCACTTTCATTCTCAAGAATTAAAAAGTTCTCCATTTTAGGCAACCTCTAATATCATTATAAATATAAATTCTTTAGGAAGTTGGTTTTTAGGGAAACTTAGATGCCAGTACATGATTATAGGTAAATATCAATTAATAGCAGCAGCTGCCACTTGGGAACTAGTAAGATCAAGCCCTAATCCTAATTGGTCTTTCAAATCAAACTGTTGTCACTGATAGTGTTTCTGAAGTTCCTGGATTATTGCCAAAAGACAAGAAGTAGTGTCATGGTTTAACCCAGTCTGGTAACTAAGCCCCATGCAGCTGCTTGCTCACTCCCCCCAAAATGGGACAGGGGAGAGAATTAGAAGAGTAAAAGTGAGAACACTCATGGGTTGAGATAAAGACAGTTTAATAGGGAAAGCAAAAGCCGTGCACACAAGCAAAGCAAAGCAAGGAATCCATTCACCACTTCCCATGGGCAGGCAGGTGCTCAGCCATCCCCAGGAAAGCAAGGCTCCATCACACATAACAGTGACTTGGGAAGACAAACGCCATTACCCCAAACATCCCCACCTTCCTTCTTCTTCCCCCAGTTTCTATACTGAGCATGACATCATATGGTCTGGAATAGCCCCTTGGTCAGTTGGGGTCAGCTGTCCTGGCCGTGTCCCCTCCCAGCTTCTTGTGCCCCTGGCAGAGCTGAGAGCTGAGAAGTCCTTGGCCAGTCTAAGCACTACCCAGCAACAACTAAACCATCAGTGAGTTGTCAACATTCTTCTAGTGCTAAATCCAAACCTCAGCACTATGGCAGCTACTTGGAAGAAAATTAAGTCTGTCCCAGGACAAGTAGTCACAGGAGTGAATTATGCAAAACAAGAGAAGCAATATCCACAAACCAACCAAAGTCAAATACTCCCCTACACACACGTTCTCCCTCTTTTGAGAAGATAAGAGAAAAAACCCACACATGGTTGATATTAAGCACACCGCTTAATTCACCAATTCACCACTTGAAGGCATTCAGATATCGTGGTGATGTGGACTGCATAAAAACATGTATAAAATAGAAAAAGAGAGTCATCTTCAACCATTTACATATTCAGTTTTCATAATCTGTTTGTTTCATTACATACTTAGTTTTAATTGTCTACAGATCTAGATAAAACTTGCTTGGATCCAGGCCAAGGCCAAGATTTGCACACCTCAGGTACTGATACCATGTCCAGCTCATGGTTCATTTTTATTTTATTGACTTTATTTACTATCTGGGATTGCAAGGATGTGGCTTACCCAGTTTTCTGCGTAGTTGTGATTATTTATGCTACACTGGAACCAATTACACTCACTGTGATCTGGTCACAATTTTGTAAGGTAATTAAAAACTGCTGAAAGCAATTGTTTTATTTTGGGAGAACTTCTTGTCCGTAACATACATTTATGAGCAGGTTATTTAGTGAATGGCATTCTCAAACTGAGTAGTATTGTGGAAGCACCGTGAAGAAGCCTGTAATTCAATGTTTTACTGCAAAATGGCAAGATAGTATGCAAACCGGGATCTTTCCGTCTTGTCCTTTCTCTGTGGTGACTGAACCTTTCTCCTTTGCAATGGCATAAAGGCCAAAAGACCTGAGTAGGAAGAGGATATCTAAGCAACCTCCCCCCCCCCCCCCATTTATGCAAAATTATCTTTTTTTCCTCAAGAAAAAAAATGAGTTATTAAGAGGAAAAGAGAAAGTACAAATTTTCATTCCAGTTGAGGTGATTCTCCAGCAAAATTGAAGATGGAAAACAGGTGATTGCAGAACCTCATATGTAGTTACTTAGAATAAATGCTAAACCCCAAAATAATTTATAGGAATAAACCTAAAGTATGGGTGAAATCACTGAGCTGAGTAGAACAGTAATTCATGTTCACACTGTGCTCCTAAGAGACTTCTCACCATACTTTTTTTTTTTTTTTTTTCCAATTTATTTCTTTTAAGATGTCTTCTTCAGCTCACCCATACAGGAACCACACATATTTTCTAAAATATGTCTTCCTGACCCATGTCCCTAGTGAATAGCTAGGATTTTCAACTTCCAGTGAAATTTAGTCTCTACTCACTTCTGCTAGGATATATAGTTTAGCCTTTTCCTGACCCAAAATTAGTCTTCTTAAGCTGTCAGAAGGAGACTATGTATGGGTACGCTTAAACCTAGCTTTCTGCTTAAAAGCACTGATGCAGCTTATGTCTGTTGTTCAAAATGTTTTCCCTCTTAGTACTAAGCTTCTCTTCATCACTTTTAAAAGGGCTATTGAACATGAGCATAGTTTTTAAAGAGTGATGTTGTTCAACATTTAAAATAAAATATTAGGACAGATATATTTTTGAGCAGCAATTTACGCCTTAATAAAACATTGTGATATTGAAGTTCTGAATAAACTGTAAATAATGGAACCATCTACCTAGGGGATGATGAAAATATAAAAGTATATCAAGGTTTGGTGGCTTTTGGATCAATAGATAATCTTTCCACTTGTCCCCTGGAGGCTAAATTACTCGATTAATGGGAGTGAGGTTGTCTTGGACATGCAACATGTGATATGTTAGGAGGCTGAGCGCTCCCAGGTATTTTGGCTTATATCTAAAGCAACAGAGAAGACAGAGGAATGTGTGAAAACAGTGGTCACAATTTTTTTTTTTACACAGTTTCAGGCTATTATTATTATTATTGTTATTATTATTATTGTTAAATTAAACACTGAGCTTCTAAATTATGCACTTTAAAGAAAAAGGACACTAACTAACATCTCTTTTCATTGTCATACACATTGGGTTTTTGTATGTGACATTATGGTGTAGGTCTGCAGTTGCTGCACTTTTTGTTTATTTCTTGGCATTCCATCCCCTTCTTTAATAGGTTACCATGTTTGTCGGTCACTGATTATAATTTTTCTTAATTTTTTAAATAATGTGCTCAAGATAGGGTTTACATCTCACACAACTGTAAGTAATCCTAACTTTTCAATATCAGGATATTCTTTACCATAATATCCAAGCCCTCTTTATAATAATGATTTTGATAATAACAATTTTGTCTGCTTCATGTGCTGAAATTTCAGCTTTTTTTTTTCTTCCCATATTCAGAATTATTCAAAATTAACAACACAACTCCAGTCTGGAGCATCTTCTTCCAGGGTTGACTGTCTCATCCAAAATGTGCCATCTCTAGGCCGATTGGCCTGACTGTTGGTGTCTTGATGCTGTGATATTCTCTAGGGTTAGAAAAGAATGTCCTATTAAATACCTCATGCTGATCAAAAGACTTCTGTAATGAGCAAGTAGTGGGTTATAGATGTCCTTAATAGTTGTGAAAAACATTCTGAGAGATTTTTATTTTACTCCAATGGTGGAAATTGTGAACAGCTCATGAGAAGAAGAAAAGAAGGGAGAGAAAAAGATTTTTTTCAAAAGGAAAAAACAATGCTATATCTTAGCAGAGATCATTCTAGCAGATGCTGAAATTTCTTACCATCCTTAAGTGTTTTTTGTTATTATTTCCCTTCCTAACCAAATGAAGTCCAAGTTCCCTGTCTAAGTGCTTACCTTAATATTATGCAGTATTAACTGTGAAGATTTTTAGACTTTGCTTAATATAGGGAAGGCAATGATTGTATTCTGTATTTGTTTTGTTGTTCAAGTAATATTGTTGACAATGGTTGCGACTGTAGGCATTTTCTAGAGTAAAAGGATAGTACCTAGATTTCTTCCACTAGCCGGACATGGATGTGTTGAAAACCCACTCAACTTCTCATGCCAGGTAGCAAATCAGTCTTAAAAATGCTTGAAAAAATATATTTGGGGAGCTGGATTTTATGTTGCATGATCTGGGAAGGAAACTGCAGCCTTGGGGTAGAAGTGCAATGGAAGACCCATTCCTGACCTGGGGGACTCTGCAGGCAGCACAGCCCCTGGTCAGAACCCCCATGGAAATTAGCTCATCCCAATCAGCTAACAGGCAGGGAAAAGTGCTAAGGAAATTAGGATGCGAATAACACAGGCGGAGAGACTCATTTGAAAATATCTTCAGTACAAACAGTATGCAAATGCTGCTAATGGTCACTAGAAATCAGGAACCTGATTAACATAGTCTACTGTAACACCGTTCTCCTTATTACACCATGAATAGATGTAACTCTGTCCACAGGAACTCTGAATACCAATATTTTGCCATTCAAGGAATTCTGTGCATGTCTCCTCCCTCTCCTTTTTAACCCAATGCCAGCAGCAATTTTTACTTCCTTTTTATCCCATCTCCAAAGAATCTTTCTTCCCTTTGCAGAAAAAGATAAACAGAGAAATGCTATAAGGCTCAATAGCAAGCTTTATGGTTTTTTTTTCAGAAACACAGGAAACCACTAAATTCCTTTCTATTCCTTCTAGGAATGAAGGCCAAAAATTTATCACAGAGCAACATTAATGTAAGAGTATTTAAGGACTTAAATAAATAAGCTTTAATAAACTTATATTTTCAGCACAGAGCAGATGGTGTTTGACAGACCTGCCTGAAGCTATGTAACATCACATGCCATGCTATTTATTTTTCAATAATGTGATTTACTAAACAAATTTCTCCTTCTTTGAAATCATACGGCGAAGAAGAGGGGGTTGTATCCAGATTAAAAGGCAGTAGCCATTTGAAGGACATGTAAAATTCCTGGATAAGTAAAAACTGTGCAGAACATGAGAAGTGTCTCCATGACTTCGTCTGGATTCATACGTGTTAATAAGATATTGCCCTTGAGAGAGCGCAGCTGGACTTCTGTCCACTTGGTCTGGTAGCTTGTTTTCTAGCACAGACTGGTTCGTGCCACTTAGCATCTCAGACAGCATGATTTGGGCAATTGCACAGAGCAGGGAGGTTTTTGGTAAGCAATACAGAACAGGCTTTTCTCTGTTTTGGAGGGAGAAGGGGCCGGCCAGATGGATATTGGCAGTTTGTGTTGTGTGGCCTAAGGGTGACAGAAGGGTTCCCAGTTGTCTTGTGTTTCACTAGAGGATGTACTTAAGGGCCACTGTTTATGTGATTTAAAACTAGAGTAAAAAAGTTAAAGGATAAATTTGAAAGGAGGCTTAAGGGAGGCGTTAGATATAGGCTGCCATGGGCCTACTCTCAGTGATAGTTTCCTCCTATTAGCAATACAAAACACATAGGTTAGGAACCTAACTTACAAACTTTTAAGTCAATCTCAGAATTTCTACTTTTTTCCGAAGACCGTTTAAGGAATGTCTGGAGCCTTTGCTCCTAAACCATGCAGTTTATCAGATGCCTAATTTATTCAGTGCCATTGTACCCCAGAGCTGACTACCCTGTCCCAAGTTCCTATTCAGGACAATTTCCTGACCTCCCAAATGGGTGCCAAGTGCTTGACCTTGCATGTCAGTGGTGAACACAAAATACATCTGCCCTGCATGCAACCAGTGAAGAAGAACTGCTAACTAGTTGTTTTCAGAGCTGTAAAATACCATCCCAGTGGTGAGCCTTTAAGTGTCATGGTGTCTGCTTTCTGATTATTTATGTTGTGTTAGTATTCACTAAAGTATGCACAGTTTAGCAAATTATTCCCTGATTTTAAGGTTTAGTGGTGGGATGGCAGGGTTAGGTTAAAGGTTGGACTCGATGATCTCAAAGGTCTTTTCCAACCAAAGTGATTCTATGATTCTAAGATTCTATGATTCTATGATTCTATGATTCTATTAAAGCTTAAATAATGGGAAGGAAGAGAAGAATTTAAATGATATTATAGAAATTGAATTATTTGACTGGGAAAATAAAGCATCCCAGAATGCTAATATCACCAAGGATGCTTGGTTCAGTTAGTACACAGCACACAGCACAAGTAATTGAAAATTTTCTTAGAACATAGTTTTGGAGTCTAAGGGAATAGGAACCTGGCTGAGACTATCGCATCTGGCAGTCCCTGTTGTACCATTTCAACAGGTAGGAGAGGCTTCCTATACCAACCTTGTCTGCCCAGGTCTGCCTCATTTTTATTGTGGAATTTCAGCTTGAAAAACTATAGATTATGTACACATATGACAGCTGCTGTATTGGACAAAGTACCAGGGACTGAATTCAGGGCATCTAAAACTAAAAGCATGTGCTGAAATCGCTTAGGCTAAAGAGCCATAGTGCTTTAGCTGGGGACCAGAAGAACTCAGAAAAAGGATGAACATAAGAAAAATGAGATAAAAATATCAACGGGTTACACAGATGCCTCCTCTTGTATCATAGCAAACACTCTCTCTATTTTCGGTTGTCAATTTGTATGATTAACTCCAGATTTTGTAATGGATTCTTTTTAAAAACCTAAGAGGTAAATTTATGTTTTATATTAAATTCTGGTGGCACTTGATATTTTTGTGTTTGAATTTCTAAATTAAAAAAGGGGATGGGTCTTACAGTTATCTAAACGATCATAAACGCATTGGCCTTGTATCATAATTGGAATTACAGACAATAATAGAAAGCAGGCGTTCCCTCAAATGAATGCTTAAAGCAGAAGACTGGAGCACAGGCCACTTGCCAACGTAGCCATGTAGAGCTGACAAAAGCGCTGTACATTTGAGACATCATTATTGAAAGGGTATGTTTAATCCTCATCCCACCCCAAAAGTGACTTCTCAATAGTTCCCAGAAATGTATGCTATTAGGCTCAGCTGGAAATAGAAAATAGCTCTTAATCATATGCAAGGAACAATTCTAAATAGGAGTATTTGAAAACAGCATTGGGAAGGAAAGAGTACTGCCAGAAAGAATGGAAGATCATTTTGATTCTTGATGAAAAGCTATCAAACAGAGTTCAATGTGATAAGAGATGTGACAAATCTTTAGAGAAGCAGTTTTCTCTCAAGAGAAAGGTAATACAGCTGACAAAGTCACTTAATGCTTTTTGTACCATTGAACCTAAAAAAAATATTTTTTTTCATTGGTTATGAGCCACAAAAAGCTTTTTCCCCCCTTTTCAGTCTTCATGAGGATTTTTGCTTTGAGACTTCCTGCAGGAAAGTGTTTTAAGTGGAATTCTTCTTTATACTGCACCTAATGTCTGCCAATATGATTCCTCTTACAAGCGCAGGGACCATTTTCCTTCTGTCCTCAAGCTGTGTTGCTGCTTATTATCATGTTTAACATTCCCAGTGCCTGGCAGGATGGAGATTAGAAACTCTTAATATTCGTTTTATAGTGAAAGGTCTTGCCAGATTTTTTGAGTATAGGCTATAATATATGCACATAATTTATTGATGGAAAAGTTCTGAACTCTCCAGTGAGTCACCTTAATCTTTCTTCTTATCATTTTAGGATTGTTTTAAAATAATCTGCTATGCCCCCCACACGTAAACATGTTAAAAACATTACATTGGAAATAACAACTTGATGGAAGAAAACAAAAAGAGATGCACAGATTTCCTTTGATAAATCCGTACTTTTTTTTTTAAGTGTGTATTTTTGGAGTACTTTTCTCTAACTCCAAAATTTCATTTTTAACAGACTGGAAGGAAGGAGAAGGGGGACCCACTCAACATTGCTATTGACAAGATGACCAAGAAAACACGAGACCTTCGAAGACAGGTAATCTATGCTTTTTATAATGCCTCTTTATTTTCCAAGGAAGTAATTGCTTTCCAACTTCAGGCTGGATTTTCCACCTGTAGAGGTGTAAAGAATTTGTGTCCTTATTTCGATACGACACTATGTTACACATGACATTAAGCAAAGGAGTAGTATTTCCTGAGCCAGAAAAAGGGAGACTGAAACATATTCCAAGTGTAACCCCCAATGGTCTTATATGTGGGAGGGTAGGCAGATTGGCCAGACCTTCACTGCCTTTGCAGCCCAGCAACCCCAGTCATAAAAACACTGGCATATGTTCTTATTTGTATTTATTTGAATACTCTCATTGAAATAACAGGAACGATGAGCAGAATATGAAAACGTTTGTTAGAGCAGAATATTTTCAAAGAAAACTTCTAAGGTACCGTATTAAATAAAGATCCTATGAAGATACAGGGAAGGATAATAAGTAAAAGGTTGCCCAGAGAGATGGCAGATGCCCCATCCCTGGAAACATTCAAGGCCAGGCTGGACGGGGCTCTGAGCAACCTGATCTGGTTGGAGATGTCCCTGCTCACTGCAGGGAGGTTGGACTGGGTGACCTCTAAAGGTGCCTTCCAACCCCAACTATTCTATGATTCTGTGATTCTATGATTCTATGAATAACTGTAAAGCATAGTTTAAACCATAAAAGTTGACTTTCTTATTTTACCTTTATCATTGTGTTTGGGAAGAAGACTGAAATATTTGTTCAAAAAGCTTGAGATGGAAAAGAATATAAGGGGAAAACCTTCTATAGGTTTTTCTTTATACTTTTAAATTTAAGGCAGGAGGATTTGCCTCTTTTTACCTGTTTTTTCTCCTTTTGAGAAGATCCCAATTCTGCATTTTCTGTAAAAATAATAATAAAAAATAAATTCTACCTGCCCAATGAAAGGTCACCTCTGTGAAAATGATGCAAAATCCACAACTCTGCAAGACCAAGTAAGGACTAAATGTATCTTCAGATATCTATTCGCAACATGATAGTTTCAGAAAGAGTGGCCCCTATAGGCATTTTGAAATCAGTGCTCTGCACTGCTAAGACTCCGCTCATTTCATCTCTTCCATAACTCTCAGCAAACGTGTTTGAGGATCATATTCTCAGAGTTGATTTCTCCAAATAACAAAAATATTGCAGTGGACTTGCAGACAACATGAATCATTGATTCTCCTGTATAAAGCCTAGCATCACATCTGTTGCTCAGCTAATGACAGAAGAAAGATCTCTGCTGTTCTGACCTCCAAATTTGTGGTATCCTAGGTTCTGCAGTGGAGCTTGTACCATGTGTTGCCTCCCACCTCTGTTCTTATTGCTTAAAGGAAGTAGCAGACTAACACATGAGTTGCTGTTCTGTGTGAGGCTCTCAGCAGTTGCCTGAATTACTCATCTCTAAAGCCAAATTTACTTCGAAACGTGATATAAAAATGGCACCTTTCTTAATAAACTGTCTGCTTCTCGTGTATATTCAGCCCCATGGGTGTTGAATTCAATCTCAGAAAGGTTGGGACTCTGTATGTGGGTAAAGTGAAGCACATATATCATATTCTCCTGCTTGGGGGTGAAGCTTTTAATATAGTTTCTGATATTTATGAAAGTTAATCACGTATGTATAATGTTTATTAAATTATGGCAGTTGCTAGTAAACTAATCAAGATTAGATCATGATTGTACTAGGTTTTGCACAAGCATAGAGGAAGATGGAGCCTCTGCTTTCAACGATGTGCATTCTGACTATAAATCATTATCCTTCAGAATCATAATCAATGTTCTGCTTCATCACATGCATAATCAACAGTATAGATGTGTGTGTCTACCCAGACCTGCCTATACACACCTCCTGCTAAAGTTCAGAATGTAAGGATGTCACCGAGAGCTTAGTTTAATGGCTGGGGAGAGGGGCTTGAAGATTAAGGAATGAACCCCCGTTGAGGTTGCAGTGTTGTACTATTTCAATCTTTCTATTTTGGGCTAAATCATGAAAGAGACACCCAACTTTGAATACCATAATGCCTTTTGTTTTTAATTAATCCCTTTTAAAGCAGCCTTGCTTGTCAGATTTATGAAGCTTAACATTATCACCATAAAATTGGACAATCTACAAAATATGTTATGGTAATGAAGAAAGTATATCTGTTTCATTTGGTAGTCAGGCTCCCTTTCAAGGCTTCAGTAGTCAACCATCTAAGACTGATTTTTCTTTCTCTTCCCAGGTTACTTAGCTCTTTCTTTCTGAGGTTTTATTTGATTATCTACAGAACATGCAGACATGTGAAATGATTGTGGTTGGGATACACGGTGCTAAAATTCCATCTCACGATTTGCAGTCACATCAATATTTCCTGTTCTGATGGAATTACATCTTTTTATACTCATCATTTAAACTCTCCTGGGCATTGGAAAACTATTATGGAGATCTAATTATATGTCTTAATATAAACTGCCAGTAAGAACATCAACCTAAGTCAGACTGAACAAGTTCTTGGAAGCAGACAAGTGTCACCAGCCCATCGTTACTGCTGCCATTTCTTATTTGATTGTGAACAATTTGGAAAAAGCACAGAGTTCTGTGTCTGATAACAAGTTGTACCAATTGGCAGGATTTGGGGTCTTTAATTAAAAAAAAAAAAAAAAGAAGAAAAAGAAAAAACAAAACCTAAAAGCTAAACAAAAGCATCTTTCACTGTGAGGTACAGCAAGCTAGATCAGCAGCAGGGTGCTTGTTGATGCCAGTTATTTTGTTTGTTTGTTTTACCTCCATAGGAAAAAAAAAAAAATACTAACCCTATAGTTTGAATACTACAGCTAATCATAAAGCAGCACACACACAGAGTATTTCAAGCTTTGCAACGCTGTGGTGACATTGAAGCAAAGATAAGCAGGGAAGGACACACCAAAGTATTTGGCTAACACACAAACTGGATGCCTAGCGAGGACCAACACGGTCTATAGATCATTCCGAGTTGTACGAGCAGGGCACCAGCTGTTCTGCTGTCACCACCACTGGTGTCCCCACCTGTCAGTGCCGCTGCCTCCTGCCCCGCTGCCGTCGTCGCTTTGCCTCGTGTCCTGTTCCAGCTGAGCGGTTGAGCTCGGTCAGTCTGTACCAGCCAGTGGGTTTCCCCGCGAGGTGTAAGAACCAAACCCATTTGTTTTTTCTTAAAGAGCATATATCAGTACCGTTATTAATTTTAACAGAGCAGTCTGGCTGCAGTATTCTGTACAGTAGATTGAAATAAAGTAAGTCTTCATTTTTGTCCATTCAAGCCAGACTAATACTTCATATGCCTCCAAGTGGAAGGAATTGTAAAGAAATAGGAAGATTTTTCGCACTGTTTCTCAGTTTATACTGGAAATGATGCTCTCATATAGCTGTTAAGGACAGTTCGTCCACCTCCTGCAGACTTAGGTTTATGTCGTTACTAAAGCTAGTTAGAAATACTTTATGAAATAAATACTCAGCAGAAAATTTTCACTTCCTTTAAAACTGGAAAACATCAGAAATTATCCAGAAATTTAATTTTGAAAATAAAAAAAATAAAAAAATAAATAAAAAAAGAAAATCCTGACAGTGTTGAAAAGTCACATTTGGACTTTTTTTGGTGGTTTCAAATTTTCACTTTGAAAGTTAGTCATTTGTTTTAGCTTTGCAATGCAAATATAAATATATACATATTTTTCCAGGTTTCATTCCGAAGTAGAATAATGCAAAAATTAAAAAGTACTATATTTTTCTTAAAGTAAGATTTCTGGTTCTACTTGCAGTTTTAGGCAACAAAACTTTATTATAATTCATATCATTCATATAATTCATATATATATTCATAGGGAATGTGATATGTCAAGTCCAGATATAACTACATTACCAGTTGCCTTTCAATAAATACTTTGAATGTTTAGACTGATATCCCGGGGTTTTGTTTTAATGGAGTGGATGTCTAAAGGAAATGAATGCTCTTGTTAGATATCTAAGTCTGTGTGTAATATCAAAAGCTTTTTTGTTTTGTCATCTGATTATTATTTAGTGACCTTAGACTATGTGGTGCTGGATGTAATCCAGTTCAACCTGTTGGGCAGGTACCACAAAGAACAACCTAACAGCAACATCCTATTAGTAGCTACATACAGTTAGTAGCTAGGATGGTGATTTTGCATATGGAAAGCTGTCATCATTTCCGGACTCGAAATACCTGTGCTTGTTCACATGGTCTCTGATTTTCATAATTCTTCTCATTTTCTCATATCCGTCCTTCTCCTCTCTTCTGCGACGTCTGCTGCTGTAGCTTACGTTACTCCAGGCTCGTCAGTGAAATGCAGGAAGATGTGAGGCTGGTTTTGGCACCTCCTCTGCCAATTGGCCAGCTGGTACCTGCATGGTGGTCAGCCAGCTGGTACCTATGTTGGTACTCTGGCCAGCCAGCTACTGACTTCACATTACAAATTTCCCTCTTTAGGACTCTAATTCAGGTCACTGGTCTCCTACCCAGGCAGTTTTTCATCAAACTTCAGCTATTTAGCATCCTCAAGACCTTTTCTCTCTGTCAGATGATTTTAAAATTGGCCAACAGATTAAAATGTTTTTGAAAAAACGGACAGAGTGACTGTAATGAGCCTCGTTTCCTCAGAAAACCGGTCTACGAACAAAAGCCTTTATGGTCAAGACTATGGTCCTGTTCTGGTTTGCTGTGTTATGTGCAGCAACATTGCAAATTTTCCAAGGTGTATTTAATTTTAGGACCCCCTACTGTGCTACTTTGCTAGTAATACTGGTATTGTATCACTGTAGCATGTTATTACCCATAAATAAACCTTTCAATACGATTTCTACAGCGACACGTAGCTTGTTTTCCCATACCATCTTCCAAGAATGGGTTTCGCGTGTGGCTGTGGTTTGTCGTTTAAAAGCTGATTATTTAATCTCAGCTACTTTGTGGGCTCAAAGGTGGAAGATAGGCACTTCCACAATTTCTGCATTGGG